AATTGTCATGTGGACCTCTGAAGGTATTGTGTGGATTTCTGAAGGTGTCATGTGGACCTCTGAAGTTGTCATGTAGACCTCTGAAGGTGTCATGTGGACCTGTGAAGGTGTCATTTGGAACTTTGAAGGAGTCATGTGGACATGTGAAGGTGTCATGTGGACATGAAAAAGTGTCATGTGGACCTCTGAAATTGTCATATGTACCTCTGAAGAGATGAGTGGACGTGTGGACGTCTGAAGGTGTCATGTGGACGTCTGAAGGTGTCATGTGGACGTCTGAAGGTGTCATGTGGACGTCTGAAGGTGTCATGTGGTATTTGGCTCTGACCTTCATGCAGCAGATTCTCTGTCTCCTGCATTAAGGTAAATGTGATTCTTGGGTTCTGACACCTTTCTGTGACAACCAGCACCTTATAGATGCTCTTCAAACTACAGTTGCTCCTCTATAAGATCAGAACAATACATCCTTTGATCCCCATGTCCATCCATGACTCCAGGTCCTCAACGATCCTGTCTTGGGTTCTCTGGTTTTCTTGTCATGGATCAGTTTTTCTGACTTCTGCACTAAGAACATCCCACGGAGCTTCATTGTGAAGAAGTTCTGATCCAGCTGAACAACACTTATTCCTGTAAACCAGTTAGTTTTTTCCTAAATAACAAATATTTGTACAATATTAAACTGTTTTACTGACGTCCCCAGTTTTACGTTTTCAGACTGTAACTCACTGTCACACACCTGTTCTTGTTTTTATGTAAAATGAGAACTCCACATGGTTACAGTCATTATGAGGACATTTTTAGGGTTAGTGTTTTATTATCAATTTATTCCCCCTTCAGCTCTTCTTGGGACGAGGATTATTTTACCACCCATGACCCTGATGCAAAGGTGAGACAGCACTATTACACAACTTCCTTTTTTTCCACATCAGGTTGTATAATTTGATGCATGTGGGGTTGTGGTAATTTACAAATGTTGTAACATTTGCTGCAATAAAACAGTGATGCTGTTGAAATTGAAAATTAAATTAATGAAACTCTGTCAGGAAAAGTGTCCTCTTCATCAAGATTTATTTTGGTAGTTTATTCTGCTCTAATCTCTGTCTCTGTCCAGCAGTTTTATGGAGCTGTAATCTGTTTTAATCTCTGTTTGCAGTGTTTCGCCGTGCGCTCTCTCGGCTGGCTGCAGGTGGAGGAGGAGGACCTGTCCCCTGGTCGGAGCAGCCTTGCCGTCAGCAACGTCATCCAGCAGCTGTCTCACTGCAGCAGCCCTGAGCAGAGAGACAGGTCGGGAGCGTGGGGGGAGGTGAGAGTCCTCTGCTGCCACCTGTGGGTTAGGGTCTGCACTTCAGGCACAGCAATGTAGATTATCAAAGTGACTAGTTATTATATAACATAAATTCAGTTAAAAACTACTTCCTGTTTTTAATTTATTAAACATATTTGATCACATGGGCAAATCACAAACTAGAAAAACAGACATGTATTTATTTATTGTTGTTTTGTCTACAGGGTCAGGAGATGATGCTGGTTTTGAAGAAAGACACTTTGACCTTGTTGGACCCATTAGACCACACCCCACTGCACTGTCAACCAATTATCAATATACGTGTGTGGGGGGTGGGCTGCAACAATGGGAGGTGAGCCAATCACAAAGCTTCCTAGGCCCCATTTACCCCGACACGGCGGGGGGAAATGTAGGCTTTTTCAGATGTTGATTCAAGGAAAAAATCCACATTGATATGGAGTGCATTCACTGTTTACATGTAACTGTATGCCCCCCCCCCCCCCCCCAAGTCTGTTGTAGTTGCCATGCCAGGTTATTAGCTGGTGATGTGAATTTTGTACATTCACCTAATGTGCATGCATGCTGCGTGGGAAAGCTGTCTGTAAGGACTTTCCTCTGAGCTTAAAGCCCAGTAACAACAAAACTTAAAGCTGGATTTTGGATAAGAGTCGACGGATTTGATGCCAATCGGACCGCTTGTCCAACAGCTCCACACCGGTCGCTGAGCGGACCGGCACTGATGAGAATGATGTCGGGCTTCCTACTCTGGTGGTAATCAGCAGCCGTCGAGCAATGCTACAGCAGGTAAATCTACGTTCTTGATAATGTTTGCTTGTGTTTACTTCAGTTACACAACAACCAACCGAGTTTTTATTTTTGTTTTTCCTGCGAGGAGAAGCTGCTCTCCCACCAGAGAGACCAGTTCCGAAAGAGAGCATACACCTTGGCAGTGCAGGAGGGTGTCGAAGAGAGAAGTTGGAGCAACTGTTCACTTAATAAAATTCCCCTCAATTCTTTTTTCCAGTCCTTTCAATGTTTTAAGTTACATTAAGAAAACGAGTGACAGCCTGAACAAGCCAGATAAACAACATGGGGCCAGTATCCAGGATGACAACAGAGCGGAAGAGTCCAGTTCATTAATGTAGTTTATAGTTTGAGTTAATGTGCGTTGAATAATGTTCACTTTTCTTATCAGTGTTTGTGTGACATACAGTTTGTGATATTAAATAAATAAATGAAAATTAAACCTGATGTCTTCATTTTCAACTTGAAATACATGCAATATGTTTCACATTATCATCAACAAAGTTTAAATGGCATAACTTGAATTACATAATGTCCAGATAGTGTCATTTAGCTCAGATAGTTTCATTATATATCCCACCACTAACAGAAATACTATTATTGTTACTGTTATTATTATTTAGTACATTATGTATGTTACTCCAGCACGACGCGTGAAATATACGCCTGCCTTGACAGGCTTGTTAGCGATTTTTAACTTGATCTGACCGGCATCTCTTCCCAGCACAGATGTCGGTCACAGCACCTACATTCTGGCATAGATTAATTACGAGACCCAAAATATATTCCTTAGATGGAGAACTTTACTATTTTGATATAGTACTATATAAATAAACTGAATTGAATTGAATATATTCCATCAGTCATAGCACAGAAAACAGTATGTTTACTACGACGCCATTGCTGTTGATAGAAATATGCTGTTGGTCTGTGCATGCGTGAAACATACACCTGTAGTGTGCATGTGCCTTCACAGTTCTGCGGGACTTTTGACACCTCTGCGAGAGGCCACCAGAAAACCTCCACTCTGAGACCTGGGTTGAAAAACACCCCGTGAGGGCGGGGGGCTATTGTTGTTTAAATGAACAGCTGAACCGCAGAGAGAAAGGTGCGGTTTCACTAAAAATATGTGTCGTGTAAATGGCCCCTTACGGTCAGCCAATCACAGAGCATCTTACTGTCAGCCAATCACAAAGTATCTTACTGTCAGCCAATCAGAAAGTATCTTACGGTCAGCCAATCACAGAGCATCTTATGGTCAGCCAGTCACAAAGTATCTTTCTGTCAGCCAATCACAGAGCATCTTACTGTCAACCAATCACAAAGTATCTTACGGTCAGCCAATCACAAAGTATCTCACGGTCAGCCAATCACAAAGTATCTCACGGTCAGCCAATCACAAAGTATCTCACTGTCAGCCAATCACAAAGTATCT